TTTTTTTTTTTTTTTTTTTTTTGTACCAGGATCGAACTCAGGTCCTTGAGCTTGCAAAGCAGGTGTGGTTCCACTGAGCTAAATCCCGGCCTCTGTGTCTTTGTGTCTTTACAGACAAAAAGTATGCTTTCCTCATGAATAGGATTTGCTCTTCTCGGGTGGTAGGAGGGTTGACCAAACTGATGATAATATTTCATCTAGAAAAGTTAGGGTGTAAGAAGAGCCACAAAAAGAAATAGATGCTCAGAGTAGGTATTAGAGCATATTTTGGAGCTACAGTAATCAAAATAATTTGTCTTACTTAAGAAAGGGGGCAATGAAATAGAATAGGGAATCTAGAAATAGACCTAAACACATCTGGGAATATAATATAGCTGTGATAACATTGCCTGTCAGAAAGCAAAAGGGCATGTTTGAAGAAATTAGCTCTTAGATCTCCACTTTAGCTTAAGCATTCAGACCGAGGTAGATTTTTTTTTTTAAAAAGAGCCAAATCCTAAAAACTACAATAAGAAAGCATGAATTAATTTTTATTTTTGTTGTGGTACTTTCTTTTTAAACAGATTTAAAACCAGATGTCATAGAGGAGAAAAGTGGATACATGTTTTTAAAATTCTAAGTGGAAAAATATTATAAACAAACTCAAAAAACAGATGACAAACTGAGGAAAGATATTTGCACCACAAATGGAAATTTTTCCTAATTGACAAAGATCTTGTATAAATGAAAAAGACTTATAGTCCAATACAAACAAGACAAAGGATTTGAACAGATACTGTGCAGAAAAATAAATATGACAGGCCAGTAAATATAAAAAATTTCTCTCATATTTAAAGAACAGCGGGATGATTTTTGTTTTATACTACAGTTGGCCTAACATTTTGGAAGTTTGATACTAATTCAATTTGAAAATTTGGGTTAGCAAGTTGGCTTTGCAGTTGATGGTATTTTGAAGTGCCTAGCTCAGCGGAACAGTATGGCATTATTTGTCAGCATGTTAAGTGCAAGAACTTTTGGTCTCAGCCATCCTGTCACTGAGGAACAAGAGGGATACTCCCTAAGTTTACTATGGAAGGCATAAAATGTTGTGTGTTGTATCTTTAGCGTAAAAGCAGCACACAACAGAATCCTGAGCAGTGTGGAGTTTAGGAGATGTTGCCCAGTCCATTTGCCTGGTCCAGCTCTCAGTGACCGTGGATATGAGGAGGGGAAATCTGCCACTCAGCCAGAGGCTACACAGTACCAGCCTCATGGGGCTTCCTTCCTGGGACACCGAGGCTACCAGCAGTCACAGAGATTTCTGTCCATAAAATCAAAATCGAACTGCCAAGCTCCCCTGTGTTGGCAGTCCTGTCCATATATGGACTGTCTTAGTGGTGGTAGTGGGAACAATAAAATTGTACTCAGAGACAGTTCTAATACCACTCACTATCCTGGAAGGCTGAGCAAAGCAAGCCTTTGTATTTGGCCATGAGAAAGGGCCCCTTTCCCTTGTGGGCAGACACCAAGAGGCCAAAGTGAGCATGCTTCTGAGCTGTGAGCTCCCAGAGTGTCGCTGTGTTCCTGCCTATGTCAGCAAAGGTGGTTCTGTTACTGTGCTGGACCAAGCCTTCTGCGGTCATGCCCTTAAATCCCCGAGAACTACTGCTTGGTTGTATAGTGTCACTCCTTACAAGCGGCACTGCTGTGCTCTGGAGCTTGCTTCACTCTCTAGCTCCAAGAGTGTTGGTGCGTGGCTGGGATTTGAACTAGTCATTTAATTCACAGTGAGAACCCATCCCAGTTTTCCTCCTCCCATCAATTTCTGAGAACTCTAGAAGCCTTACAGAGAAGTTTACTTTTCAAGTTGTAAACAGTTAATAGGTATGAACGCTTCACTTGGAGGAGGCTGTATACTAACGTTCAGTAATCATAGGTACACAGAACCATAAAAGGGGAAAGGGGGAAGAAGAGTGACAGAGTTTTTGCTGGGAAATAGAGATAAATAGAATTAAATTCCTCCCACATCTTTCTAGCAACACTACCCTAAGGTGACAAAAGATCTCCCTTGTTTCTACATATCTCTGCATGAAAAATTGGGTCCATCTAGTTTGGGTGGGATGAAAGCAGTTCTTTTACTTTTGCTCTTAGAGGCAGAAGCTTAGAGAAGAGTGCCTGTTAGTGGGTTTTGGTTCATGTCTTTGTTTATGGGAAATGCTCCTATTCATAAAAAAAAAAAATCTAGTCTCAGCTAAATGTTCATTCCCCACTACAGGCACACCCATTACTGATACATGCTCTGGTACCCGTTTTCCTGCCTGAGAGTAAAGTATGGCCTATTCCTTATCTCTGGTGATTGAAATAACTGTAAAACTTCTTTCCGGACCCCTCCTCTTAAACAAAAGGACTCATGGACTCCTTTCTCTGTGGATGTCAAAAGCCAGAATTCTGTTAGTGGAACCAGTGAGGGCTTTAAAATGTCCAGTGTTAATGAGAAAGAATCAGAAATAAAAGCTTTGGGTCTGTTGGTCTTTGTAGTAAGGAAAAAATTCTGAAAATAAAGTATCCTTTAGTACAGAACTGGTTCAATAAATTATAGGCTGCCCATGAGGTGGCATATTTTTTATATTTTTAAACAAAATCTTGGTATTCTGATATGGAACGATCTAGTACAGTTATAAACTGGTTCTGTGTATACTGTCAGTACCCTTTGTGGAAGTGGATAATGGACTATAAAGAAATAAATATTTGTGAAATATTGCAGGAATGAAATACAAGTATTTCTTTGTTGTGGAACTGTACATCAGCTTATTGTCAGTTGGGATTGTCTGGGTTATAGGGTTATAACCAGCCACTCTGGTTTTGTGTCTAATTTTCATTATTACATTTTATCTTTTTTGTTTATTATTCAGTGTCAAATTTCTGTTTTTCTGTCCTTGTATAGATTACATAGAATGACATCAATTGAAAGAGAAGAAAAGGAGAAAGTAAAAAAAAAAGAGAAAAAACAAGAAGAAGAAGAAACAATGCAGCAAGCTACATGGGTAAAATATACATTTCCAGTTAAACATCAGGTAATTTTTACCATAATCTTTTAAAAAGTATTATCTATTTCTGAGACTTCTACAATTTTGATATTTTATAATTTTGCTTTACTTTTGATATAAACTTCTAATTAATATAGTTGGGATGGGATATATCTTTTTGATGATTTTAGAAGCATAGATTTAGTAATATAGGAGAGTTTGGGACAAATTTTTGAAGTTGTTATAAAATAAAACTTCATTGGGTTTCACATTTAGAAAGTAGTAAACTCTTTCATACATCTTTGATTTTTCATGAAAATGAAAATGAGTGAGAAATTTAAATTATTTCCTGCCTATTACTCATGTTTGACGAACATGTTTAAAAAAAAAACACATACTGTATAAACACGTCATTTAATAAGTTTATTTTTCTTTATCCCAGGTTTGGAAACAAAAAGGAGAGGAATACAGAGTAACAGGATATGGTGGCTGGAGCTGGATTAGTAAAACTCACGTTTATAGGTTTGTTCCTAAATTGCCAGGCAATACTAATGTGAATTACAGAAAGTCAACAGAAGGAAGTAAGTGACTTATTTAAATAGTTATATTTAATTTAAAATACCATTTTTAGCAATAATCGTTTTTTCTATAGAACCATTTTTGATTTGTATTTTCTTGTAAATTAATAGTGTATCGGTCATATTTTGGCTAAAAACTTATTTTTTTCTGAAATTTTTAGTATAGGGTGCAAAATTACTATTGTTTGCCAATTCTTAACTGAAATATAAAAAATTACTTTGGTTCACAAGATTTTAATGCCTAGGAATCAGTTAAAGATGACAGAAAAGAACTTTTTCTTTTTTTAAGTCCTACAGCTACCTAATTACAGTATAGTTTTCAAAATTTAAAATTCCATACTTTTTAACTTTTTTTTTTCTTTTTATTGAATTTATTGGTACAATCTAGGTCTACAATACAGTTACATTCATTACTGGGATCCTGTACCTTCACGTGACAGGTCTTGGTTCTCATTTTTTCCCCTTGTCCCTGCCCTCCCTTCACCTCCTCCTCCCCTCCCCATTAACAAACTCTTTATTTCCATTTTTTCATTTTCTCAGTACTTTTTAACTTCTTGAGGAGTCACATATCTGGAAACATTGACATTATTCTAAATACCAAATCCAAAGGGAAGGTGATAGGGGATTACATAACATTGTCACATAAAGGAGCTGTTTTTTTGTTTTTGTTTTTGTTTTTGTTTTCAGTTGTTCCTATTGCTAACAACTAGTATTTAGAATCTCAGAGTTCTAGAGGTGAATTGCCCTTTTGAGGGACAGTGTGTCTTAAAACTCCTGTTGAATGAGTGGATTACTTTATGAAACTGGTAGGTGACATACTGAAGTTCATGCAGATAAAAAAAATGATAGAGCCGGGTGTGGTGGTGCCCACCTGAAATCCCAGCACTTGGGAGGCTGAGGCAGGAGGATCGCTGTGAGTTTGAGACCAGCCTGGGCTACACAGTGAGTAGTTCCAGGTCAGTTTCAACTACATAGTGAGACCCTGTCTCAAAAAACCAAAAAAAAAAAAAAAAAAAGATAGAACCCTTGTTCTAATGATAGAACGTAGCTTCTGAGCCCCTTTTGCCATCTGCCATGTGCTGTTCGTTATCCAAGTGATCTTCAGCAGCAAGTGTGTGTGCCATATAATGTAATTTGCTAATGTGTTCTGTGATGTGTTCTTTCTGATGAAACTTGTATGAGGAGATTATATAATGCATGAGAAATGGCATGTACTCCTCTAGTAACTGATTTGGCTTTGTGAATGGTTCTGGTGAAACGGGCTGGTAGATTTGTGAAATTGTTACTGTAGGAAAGTAACTGGTTTATCTCTAAAAAGGAGAAGCACATATTTTTTAAGGCTGTCTGGAATTTATAGGATCTGTCTTGGTGCATCTTAGACACAGTAATCGATCATTACATTTCTGTTTTGGAAATAGCAATTACGAAGATTCAGTTGTTATTACTTAATTCATGTTAAATATTAACTATAGTAAACTCCAACACATCATTACGTTTCTTTTATTACCGTTTTGTTGTGCCAGTTACCCATGTAGCACTTACATTTATAGAGAGCTCTTTATTTGTATATAATCTGGTCTGACCTATGTGGTAAAATCCAGATGATCAATATACAAATAAGTTTTTGCAGATTTATTTTATAGCCATTCCCCTCAGCATAAGGTTTTCCATTGTTCTGGGCCTTTCTTTTTTCTAGTCCGGTACTAAGTTGTTATATTTGAGACTTTACTCCCAGATAGTGTCAGAATAAAACAACTGTGCCTACTCTCCAGGGATCTGGGTTTCTCTAACTACAAAATAGGAATCACAGTGAAGGCAGTAGTAGTAACAAATTAATGTCAGAACTATTGGTCACTACAATAATGACTAACTTACTCTCACCACTAACCTAGTCTGACTTGTGATGGAGGCACAGATGTGCTAAAAACCAGAGATATGCAGATCAGAAAACTCTTGACTAGCTGTCAGAAGGCCAGACCATTAGACCTGTTTGTCTTCTTATCTCTGACTTCTGGGGTAGTTCTAGACCTGGACATTTTTGTTCCACAGTATGTTGTACTATTCAATAAAATATATGTATGAGATATTCTTTATGTCGGGGAGAGTTTCTGCTTACTAGAAGATACTTGATCATCCACTAAAGTAGATATATTAAAGTAAATTTCTAATATTGAAAATATCTATAATTGCCATATATATGGTTCTTTTTAGTCAAAAATAATGTGGATGAAAATATGGATGATTTGGATAAAAGAAAAAGCCCACAAAGTCCTAAAAAATTTAAAACAGAGACAGATTCTGAGAAAGGTGAGATAAAAGATTCAGATACCGGAAAAGAAGCAGACCAGAATGAAATGGAGACTTCAGAGATGACTGAGAAGGACCAAGGTAAGGAGTGTTTTGACTGAGGAGAGCAGTGGGGGTACAATAAGAACACTTGGGCATTTGTCCACCACAGGGCAGGTACTGGGTTGGCCCTATTTAATTACATTTTAATTGAAACATAATTCATGTATCTTATAGTTCACTCAATTATATATAGTGTAATTAGTGGTTTTAGTATATTCACACAGTAGTTCAGCCATTAGCAAAAGCAATTTTAGAACATTTTCTTCATCCCAAAAAGAAATTTTGTACTTCTTATACTCATTAACAGTCAGTTGTCAGTCCCTCCTGCCTACCAGTCTGTTCTCTCTCTATATAAATTTGCCTTTGTTTGTATTTTGTTGTTTTGGGGAAATGTTTGGTTTTTGAACCAAAACTTGCATTTCAGTGTACGTTGATGACATTGGCCTGAAATTCTTTGCCATAGTCCTTTACCACCACACAACTATGACCAACTACTTACGGGGTTTTCCCTCTTGGTCAGTTTTGCAAAGGCCTACCCTTGCTTAGTTTCTATTGCCTCCCCCACCCCAGTACTGGGGATTGAACTCAGGACTTTGTGCTTACAAGGCAGGTGTGGTGCCACTGAGCTGAATTCCCAGCCTTCCCCTAGTTTCTTGTCATCTACCTTAATTAGGTTGATTTGGTGCTCAGCACAAACGCCTTCCACTGGCCTCATCACAGTTAGATGCAAGCACGCAAAGATGGCTTTGGCAGCTTCAGGAATTCCATATGCTATTCTCTTATGAATGAGGGTGGTCTTCAGCACCTTTTCTACAGCTGTATTGGGGTCCATTACATCTCCAACAACAGTGGCTTTCTCAGGCCATGGGAGTGTTACAGGTGAAGCCCAATCAGACACACCCAAGTGGTGTTGGTGGCAGAGAAAGAGTACTTTGTTTTAAGATAGGGTCTTGCTATGTAGTGTAGTCTGGCCTTGAACTCACTGTATAGCCCAGGCTAGCCTCAAACTTGGAGTAATTCTCCTGCCTCAGGTGCCCAAGTACTAGAATTACAGGTCTGCTCCACTCTGCCCAGCTCTGGCTTTGCCTGTTTTGGGTATCTCATTAAATGACAAATGATGACATCAAGCAATAACTTAGCCTTTGTGACCATACTCTTTCACTTAGCATAATCTTTTCAGGGTTCATCCATACTCTGGCATTTATCGATGCTTTATCCCTTTACATGTCCAACATTCCATTGTATTGCTACACTGAATTTTATTTAGCCAATCATGGATTGACAAACATTTGGACTATTTCTACTTTTAAGCTATTGTGAATAATGCTGCCATATTCAGGTACAAGTTTTTTTTATAGATATGTTTTCACTTCTCAGAAATAAAATTACTAGATCACACGGTAACTTCATGGTTAACCTTTTTTGTGGGGCGGGGGGGTTGAGACAGGGTCTCACTATGTAGTTGAGACTGACCTGGAACTCATTATGTATCCCAGGCTGGTCTTGAACTCACAGCGATCCTCCTGCCTTAGCCTCCCGAGTGTTGGGATTACAGGCGTGCGCCACCACGCCTGGCCTCATCGTTAACTTCTTCAGAATTTTATATTTTTTTTCAAAAGTCATTTTTTTAAAACTAAGTTTGGTAAAGTATATGGCTAATGATATTTTATAAACTAAAGACACTGGTGTATGTAATAGCCTGTCACATGCTAAATAATTTTTCTTTACAGCATTCCATTATGCTTAGATACTATGAATCAAAAAAAAATTTTTTAAGACAGGGTCCACTATTCTATCCTGGCCTTGAACTCACTGTGTAGCCTATGCTGGCCTTGAACTTGTAGCAGTCCTTCTGTCTCAGTCTCCCAAGTGCTGGGATTGTAGGAATCTACCACCACACTTAGCTATAATACTTTCATATTTGGAATATATGTATTTTTAAACCTTTCATGAAGTTGAAAATGTGCTTATCATCTACTGTAATTGTATCAGGAATTTGGAAATATATAGATGTTCCTTTTTAGTGTGAAATAATAAAAGTAAGTAATTTTACACATAAAATTCTCATGAATTCCTCTTTTCAGAGTAAAAATTACATTTATATAAATGCCTTTATTTTACAGATGTAAAAGAACATTTAGATTCTGACAATGATAAATCCTTCAAGGAGGAACCAATGGAAATAGATGATATAAAAACAGAGTCTCATATAAATTATGAGGAAAGTACTCAAGTAGATGTGGTCAATGTCAGTGAGGGTTTTCATCTAAGGACTAGTTACAAAAAGAAAATAAAATCATCCAAATTAGATGGACTTCTTGAAAGAAGAATTAAACAGTTTACACTGGAAGAAAAACAGCGCCATGAAAAAATGAAGCTGGAGGGTGGAATTAAGAGTGCAGGAAAGTCTTCTCCAAGTTCTTTGAAAAGTCCTTCTGAGTCACCAGTAGTAACAAAAGCAAAAGAAGAGTGTCAAACTGACTTGCTTGCACAAGAACCAAGCTCCAGTGCAAGTAATGACAAATCTGAAGAATTGATTCATGGATGTTCACAAAGTGATCCCTCACTTCTTGGAATTGGTGATCCTAGTTTTACCACAAACAAACTTTATGCAAAAGATCAAGTGTTAGATGATGTCTCCATTCAAAGTCCAGGAACAAACAATCAGAAACGAAATTCCATTGAAAATGACATAGATGAAAGTCTCTCTGAACGAACCAGTAAAAGCCAGGAACTCAGTAAGATAAGAACAAAAGGAAGTGATTTCTTCGTTGATGACTGTAAACCAGTCAGTGGAGAGGATAGTGGTACTTTGATCTATAAGAATAAAAAACCACTCGACCAGGAGGATAATGACACTACTGTTTCTTCTGAAAATGCTTTGCTTCCATCAATACCTAAAAATACTGGGGACAGAGATACTCCATTTCTGTCAAAAGGAATGGAATTTGATGGAAAACTAGGATGTGAATCTGAATATAATAGCACTTTAGAAAATAGTTCTGACACTATGTCTGTTCAGGATAGCAGTGAAGAAGATATGATTGTCCAGAGTAGCAGTGAAAGTATTTCTGAACCATTCATGACTCCAGAACAAGGCATAGAAAGCTTGGAGCCATTGAAATCTGAGTTTGTTTCTGAAAAGTCCGCTAGAAACTGTGATAACATATTAGAGGATAAGGTAACGGAAACAAATGGCAGAAAACAAAGTCAACCACAGAAGTTAGAGAGACCAGTTAATAAATGTATTGATCAAGTAAGTCTTAAAAATATCACTGACAAAAAGAATAATGAAAATTGGTCTGAAAAGAAAGGGCACAAAGCAAGTACATTTCAAATAAATGGAAAAGATAATAAACCTAAAGTATATTTGAAAAGTGAATGCTTGAAAGAAATCTCTGAAAGTAAAGTAGTAGTAGGTGGTAATATTGAACCAAAGGTTAATAATATAAATAAAATAATCCCTGAGAATGATATCAAGTCATCGACTGTTAAAGAATCTGCAGTAAAGCCATTTATTAATGGTGATGTCATCATGGAAGATTTTAATGAAAAAAATTCAGTAACAAATTCACATCTTCTAAGTTCTTCAGGTGCTGAAGGTAATTACCAAGCCAACCTCAAGACCCTGCCATCAACCAAAGAGCCTGATAATGTACAGCATACTGCACCTCCATCATCTTGTCCAGAAAGCAATTCATTTAATCAAGTAGAAGATATGGAAATTGAAACTTCAGAAGTTAAGAAAGATATACTATCACCTGTAACATCTGGAGAAGAATCTAACCTCAGTAGTGATTTTGTTGATGAAAATAGTCTTCCCTCCAACAAAGATGAAAACGTCAATGGAGAATGTAAAAGAAAAACAGTCATCACAGAAGTCACCACGATGACATCCACAGTAGCCACAGAATCAAAAACTGTGATCAAGGTTGCAAAAGGTGATAAACAAACTGTGGTCTCGTCCACGGAAAATTGTGCCAAATCCACTGTCACAACCACCACCACAACGGTAACAAAGCTGTCCACACCCTCCACGGGCAGCAGTGTCGACATCATCTCTGTGAAAGAGCAGAGCAAAACCGTGGTCACCACCACAGTGACAGACTCACTCACCACTGCAGGAGGCACCCTGGTAACATCCATGACTGTGAGCAAGGAGTACTCCACCAGAGACAAAGTGAAACTGATGAAATTTTCAAGACCGAAGAAGATGCGCTCAGGTACAGCTCTGCCATCTTATAGAAAGTTTATTACCAAGAGCAGCAAGAAGAGCATATTTGTTTTGCCTAATGATGACTTGAAAAAGTTGGCGAGAAAAGGAGGAATCCGAGAAGTCCCTTATTTTAATTACAATGCCAAACCTGCCTTGGATATTTGGCCCTATCCTTCTCCCAGACCCACCTTTGGTATCACTTGGAGGTATGTACTTTAAAATGCCTATGGGGAAGCCAGAAAGTTTTAAAGGATTATCTCATTTTTTAAAATTTCATTTTTATTACAGTGAAATAACAGATTAAGACAGGGAAGCATATCTTTTAACAGCCAAAGTTAATAACAGAAGATACAGAAAATCTCCAGCTTGGCCAGCTAGTAATAAAGTTTACTTAGTGAAAAATATTTAAAAAGTTAAAGGAATTCTTTAAAGTGAATTTCATTGTAAACTTTCACAAGACAGAAGTAATATGTCAAATCTGGTTGTTTTTGTGACCTAAGTTTCCAAGTTACTTGCCTTGGGAACAAGATAACTGCAGAATTCTATAATCACCAACTCTCTGAAATGTTTGTATTTTATTTCTATTAAACAATTGATAAAAACATGAGGTAGGAGAAAACATGGCTATAAATTTCATAAAGTTCATCATCATCTGGAAATTTCCCTAATGTAATTTATTTGCATTATAAATATGTATTTTGGATCTCCTTGTTATTTATGCAAGTAAAGGTAGCCTTGAGATTCCTTAGGAATTTTTTGAAATCCCAACATAGTTCTGATTTTAAAATTTCTAGTTTTTGGGATAAGCTATAAGTATATAGTTTGGACAGTTATAAAATCATATAGTTTTATGTTGGGAAGGGAACTTAGAGATTTTTAAAATATTATTTCCTTTTGACTACAGAGGAACAATTTAGAAATAGTGCCTGGTTTTCCTAAATCGCAGCCTAGTACTTTATCTGCAGTATCATATTTTACATATTTGTTATTACTTTTTTCCTTTTTCATGTCTTTGTTGTCTCTCTCTCTCTCTCTCTCTCTCTCTGTCTCTCTCTCCCCTTAAAATGGAAAAAAGTGAAACATAAACATTGAAAACATGAGTTGGGGAACATGCTTGGAAATCAGAATTAATCTTAGTGGCAGTTAGATTTTGCTAGATTCCTGAAATGATTTTAGCAAGTTACTGAGCAGAATTCACTTAAGACTACATTTCTGTGTCTTTTAATGTTTCCGGTTTAAGTTGAAATCACACTTTCTTTGTGTCTTTTATATTACAATCAGTTAGTATCAGAAAAGACCAAAAAAGAATGTAAGTACTCTCTACTAAAGGAATTTAGTAATGCAACCAATCATAGTTGTATGACCAAGTTTTTATAATTCATCTTTTGATTTGAAATAAAATATCACTCCATTTACACATTCAATAGAGACAGCTGAAAAGTACAATTTCTCTGCAGGGCCTGCAATGAAGGATTTGCAGAATCCTGCAGGGAATCAAGGAACTCTTCATTACAATTCATGGATTTGTAGGATTGCTCTGCACTTTTCTGCTTTCTTCATTGAGAGCGGTCCCAAAATGTACCCTTGACTGTCCTGCAGGTAACTTCTTTCCCACTGGAAAAGTTACTGTGTACAAATATTTTCATGAAAATGACGTGGCAGTTGCTGAGGCTGGCCTTTCTGCTCTTCTCTATTCTGAAGTGGACTAGGCTCAACTGGGAAGCACTTTTCTCTGAACTCTTCAGGAGGAAGCCACCAGTCACAATCACGTGGTTCTCAGGGCCGTTCTCTGCTCAGCCTGGTTTCAGGTGTCTTGTAATGTTTTAATATGCACTGTGGCACAGTTCATATCTGTTAAATTTCTCATTTTAAAAGAAGGAAATACTTTCCTTTACATTTTTTGAGAGATAATTACCTTTAAATAGATTCATCCTTTCTGTCTAATAGAGACAGAGAAGTAAGCTATTGGCTTTAGAATTCATTTTTTTGAAAAACATGGCTATAAAAAATGCATGTGAAATGCATTTTTATACTAACACATATCAAATAAGTTTGTTGCTTAGAGTAGGAGCTAAGCATGCCAAAGATGCATGTATAATTTTAATAAATTTAATGTTAAGGCTAAGCATTATGGGGAAAAAAAGGAAACTTGCCTCACAGATACAGCAGAGCCTCTTTTTCCTCCATACTATCCCTGTACCCTTTTCCCCTGTCCCTGCTTCATTACCACTTTTTTTGAACTAGTCATTGTTATCCACAGTGCTGCCAGAATGATGTTCCTCAAATGCCATTCTGTCCTTTTTTAGTATTTTGAGCTTGCTGAGAGACTTGCTGACTACAGCAGGGAGGGAGGGAATGCATCTGTCACCTATAGATTACACTTAGGAGAAGCACTTTCCTTAAAGCCCACCTGATACTGGAGGCCTTAATATAAATATAGTGTTTAATGCTCTTCTTTGTGCCTTCAGACTGGCATCTGGCTTCTCCCTTCTGCTTTCATTCCAGCTTTATCTCTTTATGCACCTGTACACCCCTCTAGCCATCACACGCCTCGTGTGGTGTTTGGGACTCTTAGCTTCTTAATGTATGTGCACCCCTTGCTTTCAGCCAGCCACCCTCACACCCGTTTCTTATCCTTTGAGACTCTAGCAGTCCTCTGATCTCCTTCCCTGAGCCACGTCAGATGTCTCACCCTTGTATTTTCTCTTGTCCTGCAAATTGAAAACAAAAACAGATTGTAGTTCACTTCTGTGTCCCTCACTCCTTTGACACAGTCTTAACACATAGAAAGCACTCAGCTCATAGTCCAAGAATTGTATTTCTCCTGGAGATGCTGTCTGACCATAGAGATCCAGTGGAGAAAGAAGAGAGAACTGAGAATGAGCTCTTCTTTGTATTTGTGTTTGCTTTCTCCCAGGAGACCAAAGTCTAGGAGTTGCTATAGGGTGTGGTCTGAAAGTGACAGACACTTTCCCCTCTTGAGACATCCCTGTGCTAGTTGACATATCTCTCACTAATTGGAGGGTTGCTCTGTCCAGTTCAGATGATTCACAGAGTGAAAACAAGAAAACTGTGGTGTCCCAAGCACAGATGGCAAGTTAGTAAGCTGCAGTAACTTTTTTCCCTTTCTTGCATTGTTCTTTTTTTCAACTGAATACTGACAATAGAAAGCTTTGCTTTTCAAATGCAAAGTTGTCTTAAGATTTACTGTCTACTGCTGTTAGTGAGTGAGTGAAATTATTTTCATTTTATGGGCTTTCTTTGCAGGACAGTCAGCCAATATGCTCATTCACATGGTGGGAAAATGGCAACAAAGTATTTAATTATACAAAGAACAAAAAAGAATTGACAGCCTGAGGCTGCTTTAAAATGTCTAGGGTGAATTCTACTTTAGGGCATAGTATTCATTGCAGTTGAGTAAATTCATTTCAAAATGCATTTCTAGTAAAAATAATAACTTTGTATACTATATTCAAGGAAAAACAACAGAGAGACCCCTTTTTCTTCTGATTAGTAACTAATGTAGCATTGCTTTTTTTGTAACAGTGATTTTTTACTCATTGTAAGATCCCAAAACAACACTAACATTGTTCAAATATTATTCATATTTTCAGTATTTATCATCCGGTAGCTGATGGATGGTTTTGAAGAACTACTGTTTCAGTATACACTTTTTGTTCCTATTTAGACATATTTTTAGTTTTGTTTTGTTGTTTGAGAATATGGAAGCATTTTTTAGTTTTTTTGTTGACTGGTTTCAGCCAGAATTAGTCAAGGTTTTATCCTTTAGAACTCCATTCTCACACTTAGCAGCATATTTTTCTGTATTTGCTTTCCTTCATGACTTTTAAAACATTTTTAATCATATTAGTTTATAAATCTTAATAAATTGTTAACCATATCAACCTTAAAATGAAACAGGCTTACTTTACATATTTATATGGCATTTGAAATTAATATAAATCTTTTTAAAGTTGTTAGATACATGTTATGCCAAAAATTAAAAGTTTTTCTTTTAAGGGACATACAGTGCCAAAACCATATTACCAATACTAAACTTAGAATCAGAAACACAATCCCTCAGTTTCTGAGAGAGAGAGAGAGAGAGAGAGAGAGAGAGTGTGTGTGTGTGTGTGTGTGTGTGTGTGTGTACATACATAATATGTGTATAGTTTTATTTGGGTTGTTATTTTAGGTATAGACTTCAGACCGTCAAGTCCCTGGCGGGAGTGAGCCTGATGTTACGGTTGCTGTGGGCCAGTCTAAGGTGGGATGACATGGCTGCCAAGGCTCCCCCAGGAGGAGGGACTACACGAACAGGTAAGGGGCTTATTTTTTTAAACTTTAAAAAAAAAAAAAAAAACCCCAAGAAAAGAATCACTTGACTGTTCATTTAGTTTAAGCATCTGTAGCATTTAAAAAACACTTTTGTGGGCCAGGGATTTAGCTCAGTGGTGCTGCCACCTGCCTCGCAAGTGCAAGGTCCTGAATTCAATTCCTGGTACCAAATAAATAAATTAATTAATAATTAAATAATACAAACAAACACTGGCCAGCCGTGGTGGCACACACCTGTAATCCCAGTACTCGGGAGGCTGAGGCAGGAGGATCGCTGTGAGTTTGAGACAAGCCTGGGCTACATAGTGAGTTCTGTGTCATTCTCAACTACATAGTGAAACCCTGTCTCCAAAAACCAAAACAAAACAAAACAAAGCAAAAAAACCCTGTTTTTCTTAGATTTGCCATAAAATCCTGGGAACAGGGAAGGTCTAGATTATAAGGTGAGTCAGTCACCCTAAGTGTTGGGCTGTGGATGTATTTCCATGATAGAGCACTTGTCTGCATGTATAAAGCCCTGGGTTTGAGCTCAGTACTGCCAAAAACAAATTCCACAAAAACAGCAATACATTATAAAATGATATTTATTTTTGTAGAATATAGTCAAGTAACCCTAGAACCCTGTGCTTGTTGCTTTAGTCCTCGGGTTTTTATTATTTTGACTGTTGCCACCTGTAGCTAAGCTATACCCTCTAGGAATTCATTCACTTTAGCAATTTTCCATATGGAAGATACAATATTGCTGTCTAGCAGTGATCCTATAGCTTTTAATTTATCAGCTACATCTGGAAATTTATTCCATACATTTCTCTTTTTTAAAGCACCAAATACTGTACCTTTTTAGTCTTTGAGTATTTTTTAAGTGGTTATTAATACTATGTGAATTAAATCACCATAGAAACATCTGAAACAGAAATCACAACAACAGAAATAATTAAGAGGCGAGATGTTGGTCCTTATGGTATTCGTTCTGAATATTGTATCAGAAAAATCATTTGCCCCATTGGAGTTCCAGAAGCACCGAAAGGTAGGACACAGAAAAAATTGGGTTTTTTTTTTTAACCTGTTAATAAAATCTTATGTGAATTGAAGTTTAATGATAATTGTTTTTTTAACTCTTTACTCAAAATTTATAAAAGGTATTTTTCACTATAAAATGCTATGTTTAAAAAATTATATTTAGGTAATAGTCATGTCAGTCTATTAGGTACACATTAATGCCTACAGATACTGTACAAAGGGCTATTCTACTGCTTCGTCGTGTGGCTTGACCTCAGCTCCACGAAGTCAGCCGTCACTGTATTTGGTTCACTGTGGTCCTGGCACCTAGTGCTGAGTGTGACTTACAAAGGTTTGTGAGCTCAAGAGTTAATGCTATTGCAAAATACTTTAGTACTCAGGATAGAAATTATCTGAGAGACATAAAGAGTTAGTCAGGAGACATTTGTGTGCACCTCCGTAGTAGATAGGCACTGGGTGGCAAATGCATAGAAGGATATCTACCTCCATTCTCAAGGAAGCAAAAAAAAAAAAAAAAAATCTTATAGCTTTATAATATCATTAAGTGTTCATGTGGTACAGTAAGATACACAAGATTAATAAGTGAGAAGCGGAAAAGAAGCAAGATTAGCACTATTTCATATGTAATTACCTGTCTAGCAAATTCATAAGAATCAGTGTATTCATGATAAGAGTTCAGATTGAAAGCTTCTAAGTAAACAAAGGTCAGTAATTCTATATGAACAGTTAAAAATACAAGGAAAAATCTATTAAGAAATAGATGAAAAGGAAACAGTATCTTACAGTAGAAATATTTTATAAAAACGAGTTCTGCCCAAATGCATACATTCATTTTTGAAAATTACACTAACTTAAAATTTCATCTTGGTAAATAAATGACAGATAATGGCCTTTTTGAATTAACACCAATAAAATGGCACCTGTCCTAGCAAGTAAAGAAATATTAACATAATTAAAACAGCGTTGTCCTGGTGCAGAAATACACAACCCAGTTGATGAGCAGAGATGCTGATGGAAGGCGATGTTTCCAACAGGTCTTCAGTCTCCAAACCCTGCAGCCTTCAGTGAATATCACTGTCGTCTCTTGAAATCACTTTTCTTTGTATTGTATAATTTTGTGTAAACCCAGTCCTGCTGCATTCAGTTGCCTTCTGTTCTTCCTCTGGGAGTATGCTATTGCTGTGTTCCCCTGAACATAGGGATGATTTAAGTTTTACACTTGATCTTAGCCAAAAGCCCGAGACGCAATGGATGCTTTTTTTTTTTTTTTGTCCTTCCCTACTTTTTATTTTTAAAGCTTATCATTAGATTTTTATCTGTTGTTAATATATCTATTTCATATCTCTGTTGGGTGACTACAATTCTTAGTGCTGAGATGGGGAAACTCATGTTGCCTTAGATGTGCATGGCAGGGACACCCATCCCCACTGAGACAGGAGTATACTAGGTTTTTAAAGGAACTTGTATCTTGGAGTTTGAAGGATGAATGGTCTTAGTCAGATGGAACCCTAACCCTAAGTTCCAGGCAAAGGGAAGGGTCATCACAGGCCTTTTATGGCCAAGATGGGCAAGCAGAGGCCCATGAGCCTTGGCCCACTGCCTGCTTTTGCAACTGACGTTTGATTGAAACGCAGCCATTCTTATCAGTTAGTTATACATTTACATCATCTGACCCTTCAAGAAGAAAACATTTACCACCCAGTGCTTTTTATAAAATGAGAGGAAATGCCAGAAGTATTTAATTTTAAAAGCCATATTTAGCTCAAACTACTCTTACTTTTTTAAAGAAACACCTACACCTCAGAGGAAAGGACTGCGATCAAGTGCTCTGCGGCCAAAGAGACCAGAAACACCCAAGCAAACTGGCCCTGTTATTATTGAAACCTGGGTAGCAGAGGAAGAGTTGGAATTATGGGAAATCAGGGCATTTGCTGAGAGGTAAAGAAATGGCTAACATATAATAAGATATTTGAAGATTTTATTACTTCAAAATGAAAGAATTATTACTTAATTTATTCAGTACATCCTAGTTAATTTTACTCCACCTTTTGATTTTTTTCTTTCTTTCTTTTCTTCTTTTTGAGACAGGGTCTCATGTAGCCCAGGCTGGCCTTGAACTCTGGCGATGCTCTTGCCTCAGCCTCCCAACTGTTGGGATTACAGGCATGTGCCACCATGCCCAGCTTCCACCTTTTGTTTTTAAGAACTAGCTATGAATAATTTATTAAGGTCTTATTTTTTGTTTTTTTTATTGGTTTTAGGCATTGGACCTGGGGCCTTGACACTGAGCTACATTCCCAGTGCCTTTTTACTTTTGAAACAAGGTCTTGCTAAGTTGCTCAGGCTAGGCTCAAACTCTGGATCCTCCTGCCTCAACATTCCAGAGTCTTAAATTTAAAAAGTCTTCTCATTTTTAATGTCATTCATTTGTGTCTAATTCTCTTAAATGTGTATTTTAAAATAGAAATAATCCTATCCCTTTATATCAGTGTTCTGCAGCCCTTTTGATACCACGGAGCTGTTTTGTGGAAGGTATTTTTTTGAGGGGTAAGGGACTGGTCTGGGGATGATTTGAGCCTTTACATTTATTAGTACTACATTGTAACAGATACATTTTATTATTGTTACATATAATATATGATGAAACAATTGTACAGTTCACCATAATGCAGAATCAGTGGGAGCCTTGAGCTTGTTTTCCTGCGTGTATACTATCACTCACATCTGGGGATGATGTGAGACAGTTCATAGTAGGATTCAGGTTTCTATGAAAATCTAATGCCACTGCTGACCCGACAGGAGGTAGAGCTCAGGTACTAACATGAGTGACGAGGAGGGGCTATAAATATAGATGAAGCTTCAGTTGCTACCCACCTGTGGCTTGCCTCCTGCTGTTCAGCTCAGTTCCTCCTGTGCCATGGACAGGCACCAGTCTGTAACCTGGGGTTGGAGATCCCACTTTGTATGATGTAACTATCAAACACTTCATTTCCATTAGATGCCAGTTATCTGATCAGTTGGTTTCTGATATAAGTCGCCACTTTTTTTCTTTCAGAGTGGAGAAAGAAAAGGCCCAAGCAGTCGAGCAACAAGCTAAGGTTAGTGCACAGAAGGGGGCAGAGGACCTCAGGATCCAAGTGGAGGGCTCCCCTAATAGTTATGATTGCCTGCCTAACAGGAAGCCCACCTGACCACAAGCTTACATTTTTAGTCAGTTCATGCACACCGGAAACAGTAATTGTATATTCTTGTGGGATTTTTTTTTTTTTTTTTTTTTTTTTTTTT